TTTTTAAAACTTCCCGTGAACAAAGATTTGTTCTAAAATGAGCTAACCTGATACCTGTTACTAGCCCTAAAGATTCACTGGCGGTCTGCAGCACTGCTACCCTGGAGGCTTGCTCAAAATCTATTGCAGAGGTGATCTGTTTGATCACCAATTAAAAAGCTGAAATGCGGACTTCTCTCAGCTCCTGCTCAGAGGGTTTGCAAGGAAATGCTGACAGCCTGCTTTAAAGATTTCGGCTGGACGAGAATTCAGTCAGTTAACTATGCTGTAGTAAAAGTATAATTGCTATTGATTTGCTCTGATAAACAGACTTTGATCCCAGCAAATGAACTTTCCAATGGAAAATTGCTCAAACAGTGGAAACTTCAGGTTAAGCGCCCAATTTTAGGACAGCAAGCTATGGATGTAGTCCAAGGAAAGAGTTGCCTTGTGGCAAGGTAGCAGTGGAGAGCAATGTAGAGAGACAGGTGTTACTTAATAATTTTTTTAAAAGAGAGTAGCAAAGGAGAGATTATTGGATTTTACATTCGTACAGAAAGAACAAAGTTCGCAATAAACATGAAGAGAGACTCAATTGCAAAAGTAGTTTCTTTTCATCATAGCTCTTAAAACTAATATAAAAAATACTACTCTAAAATGAGTTAGCAATCTGCACCAACAGCTGTCACTGTGTTTTATGGCAAGCCATCGTTAATGCCTAAGTTACAGGACCGAACACTTAAGTTTTGCACAACTGAATTTCATGTGTATTTGCTGTGTGACTTTGAGGGGGAAATGCAAAGATCTACAAACAGTGGATATTCCTCCATGTTCTTTTCCAACATGGCTGTCCAAGAAAGAGGTCCGGGTGGGCTATAATGGATTTTATTAGCTTTTTCACAAAATCATAGTTACTGCAGCTTACGCAGAGATGCTCAGTTGATCTCTGTATGTATAAGTAAAGTCAGTAAGCAGTTTCTATTTGGAAAAGGAAACATATAAGGAAATGACCACACTCTCAAAATCAACAAAAAAAATTCTCTGAGAAATGAAGAAGTGGGATTACAGAACCAAGTTTAGATGTTAGAGCATGAGATTAACATTTTCCACAGTGAAATTACAGCTAAAACAGCTGATTAACCTGCATCAGCGGTGCTCTGAAGTAGCATGATCTATAAGAAATGGTCTGTGACAAGTTAGAAGAAAAAAATATATATTTCTGAGGCAAGTTTTCAGAGAAACAGCAGAAGATGACAGAGCAATGTGAGCAGCAGAACTACAAAAGGACAGTCTGCGCTAGGTAAATAAAGTGTTGCTTGGATACTTATCGTCACCTCTTACTTGAATTATTCTAGACAGGATGTGATCTACAAGTCAAGCAAGCTGGCAGTTGTCTGAGACACCCAAACATTTGAGCTCTGTTCACTGAATGATCTAAAACTTCCCTTCTGCTTAAGACAGAAAATGCTTTAGAGCAAAGGACTAGATTTATGTACTACTGGATTTCTCTATTTCAAGCATTTTCAGTACTGATTCATTCCCTCAGAAATTTTAATTCAATCAACTATGCTTAAAAAGCAAACATTTAAAAAAAAAATTAGCTCTTGGTAAGTAGAAACAACATGTGTTGTTCAGGTAACGTGGATAAATCCTCTTTTTTTTTTCAGGTAAAATGTTCTCTTCTATTTCATGCAGTGTAAATTAACTTGGTTTCCTACATAATTTTAACTATGCGTCTCTGTTTAGAAAAACACGAATACAGATTTATTTTATTTGGTTTGTCTCCATGTTCTTGGCCATAAATGTAACACCAAACCAGTGAAAACAGTTTTAGGTCATGTTGATCTGCACTTGGGATGCTATTTACTCTTGTGATTGTGCACCTCCTTTCTCTTGAAAAACATACTTTACACGGGGCAAAATGGAGAAGCAAAGCACCACTAATTATCATAAATAATCAATTTGTCTTTTATATATCTAAGGCCTATTCCAACTCCAAAAGTCATAGGATTTCCCTTGACCAAAATGTACATACTTTTTCACACAGACACAATGATTTCAAATTTAAAAGCTTGACTGAGAATTAAAGGCCGGAATATTAAAATATCTTTGACTTACCATGCCTCTAAATATGCAAAAACCCGTTGCTAGAATGAGATATGCAGCTAACATTAAATCTATTGGTCGTCTGAAGAGTCCTTTCTTCTGGACTTCCTGAACCACCTGCAACACAGAACGTGCTTATTAAGTACGTGCCGGTTCCACATAACGTGTGTTTAGCTCCAGATCAGTCACTCCAAGAAGGGTGAAGCAGTGGACATGACGATAGAAGCAGTTAGCTCTCAGTTATGTTACCCTATTTATCCGCTGATTTCAGAGACAAAGATTCCCACATCTGCAAAGGTGACTTCAGACTTTATAGGATGCAGTGAGGAAAATTAATGTGAGTAAACTCCAGAAATGGATGGATCTAACTAAAGCCATTTCAATACAGACTAGTTTACTTTCAAAGCAACCTAAATCAAAAGAACACTAACTCTGAAATCACATAAGGCTTTACAGCAGCATAACCAACTTCCTCAAAGTTGTCTCTTTTGTTAATTGAAATCAATTCATTTTCCTGAATGTCTCTATGTAGAAAAGCTTTGGAAACGTAACGTAGGCTTGTCTCAAACGTTTGAAGTTGCATCTAATACACTTTGTAGAAGGACTGTTTGGAGGGACAGCAAAATGAGGGTCCATCTCATTACTGACAGTGAATGCTGGTTTTCAGCAGCCTGTGACACTATTGAAATTAATGGGATATCACCGGCATAAAATAAAAGCTTTTCTGTGAGCAGTTGAGTTCTCTGTTGAGTTCAGTGAGCAAATAATATATCTTAATAATACGTAATGCAGAAATGATGAAATGTGTGTGTGCATATGGAGCACATGGAAAATCCTCCTTTCATTCTTTTATTACCATAAGCTACGGATTCCTCTGACAGGCACTGACACTTCTCAGCACCTGGATCTGATCTGTCCTGTGCCTCCTCTCCTCAGCATCAGAACAGGAATCCACCCGCCTCAGCGGGTGGGCAGATGTGAAGGGTTCACACTCTGTGGTAGCAAAGGCCATACAGATGTCTAACAAGGGAGATGGCTTGGAGGAACCAAAGTAATCTCTTTACCTGCACAGTAAAGCTTACAAGACCCATGGAAATAATTTGAGGTAGGCTCTGAGCACTATCTAGTCACGGAGAAAATCATAAGCACATCAGAGTATCTTTCTGTAGTTCAGAGGGAAAACTTCCCCATTTATGTGTGTTACTCATTTCCTCTTCCTTTTTATTAGCCGAGTGTTGGCATGCAGACAGTAAAAGAAAAATCTGATTTCCTTCCTGTTATACATTTGTGGAATTGTCTCCAAAGCACAAAACAATAATTAGGATGTAGAGGCACAGTTAAAAGCACTTGGGATCAAGATACTCGCAATAAAGTTTTTGAAACAGGAGAACTGCTCTTCCAAGCACAATTCCTGTGTAAGAACTGCAAGATTCAAATTGTAGTTTAACTAAAATAAGATTATTTTAAATACATAGGACATGCTTTTCATAAAACCATTTCTTTTTTCCTTTTAAAGGATCTTTTTCAGAAAAAAAAAGTGACATGTCTGTTTTCCAGACATAAATAACAGGTCTGTTTTGGCATTATGGTGTCACTTCACATTATTTAAAGTACTGCTGTAAGAATGTTTATAATATTACCTGCAAAGAATAGCTATGTTCTAATATTTATTCCTACAAAAGACAAAGGCCTCCCATGGCTGCTGAGCTGCAAGTCATTATCAAATGTAGGCTACCTAAGGATAACGGAAAGTTTGAAGGTTGGTATATATTCTTTCCACTTTTGTCTAAGTATGAAGCTTATATCTATATATGTATCACTCCTCATTTCAAAAGGCATTTTAAATGAATGTGTGTATTTACTGCGATCCTAAAGCTACAACAGAAGTTTGTACTTGGAGGTTTTGGAGACAAAGCCACTCGTAGTGGAAACAACCTTTGGTGAAGTACAAGTTTGTGGAAATTGCCAAGGTACAGAAAACTTGCATCTTTTTTCTCCGTGCATACATGTATGGAAACAAAATGAAAATGCAAAGCTTAAAAAAAGCAGAAGCAAGAATTTTAAAGACGGAAACAAGAATTTTAAAGACAAGCAAGAATTTTAAAGACGGTATGTACTTTGCTGACAGGCCTCAGCTGCTCAGTCATTTGGCCTTACCCTTCTTTTCCCCAGCAGTCACATCAATACACGCTAAAATGAATTGTGTGTTACGTGCAGTGGCCGAGCAGAGGTGACCTGCCACAGGTTTTGCGTTTATTGCAAACAACATTGAACTCTGCACGGATCTCGCCAACCCTGCAAAGAAGTGTGTAGGCACACTTCGTAATATCTCTCGCTTCCAGGAAAAAGCTATTTTCCATGACTTCTGAGAGGCTCCTTACATCATCAGTTCTAAGGAATCAGGATAATCTTGTGTGCTGTCCGTGGAAGTCAGTCCCTTCAGAATTCGTGTGCAAATCTGGATTTGTGTGTATGTATTCTGTTAATGAATTTTAAATTACATTAAACTTTTCTGAACTGATATACTTGTAGATAAATCTGCTGGGCTTTGTAAATACTGCAGCACAGCCTGGTTTGATTCTGACTGAGGGCATAACTCCATTCCTCTCCCATGCACCCACCTCCACTAGAAGACACCCAAAACTTGATTCCTCTTCTCTGTCTCCACAGTGATTTTTATTTTTTTTTTAACTAACTGGTTTATTTAGGAATGAATATCTTGGCCAACAGAATATACCTTGCTTCAGTTGCTTTCATGTATTTTTCTATATACTTGTAATACCATGTTTAAAAGCATAGTTACATTTTCTTCCTAAATCTTTTAATACCAACTCTGACTGATGATAGCTAAAAGAAGTTCACTTTTACAGCTAATTGCAAATAAGCTATTGAAAAAGAACTAAATATTTTCAGGACTTACAATGATTAGCTAACTGATTAGTAGCATTACACACAATTATTTCCTGGAAGCAATACTTAATTTAGGACTGAGTTGTATAAAAAAAAATAAGAAAAATTCATGAGTAGTCATGTTAAGATTTAAAGACATTTTAAGGTATACAGTTATTGAACCCAGGTATTTATGCTCAGATATGGAGCATAAATTAGCTGTGAAGACAAAATACGACTTCTAAAAAACCTAATTATTTAGGAAGGGTAGGAGGCCCCAGTGAAAGGAATCGAGGCTTTTTCTATGACCTGAGCAAGGAAGTTTAGGTTTACAAGAAAGGATTCAGTAAGAAGTGCAATGTTGTATTTTCAAATTACCAGCTTTTTTATGCATTCTCTTTTTTTGTTTTTTACTTTACAGAAGTAAAATATCAAACCTAGGTAAGCAGTTTAGCTCCTGATGTGCATAGGAGATGGCTATATTTCAGCAAATAAGCAGTCCATCATCATGTATAATAGCAATTTCTGTGGTGTTCTTGGTACTAGGAAAACAAACTGAAACCTTCTTCTATCCTCCACGCAAAGGATGCTCTCACTAATACATATGGCAAAAAATTGCCATCACCACCTTCAACTACACTTCTCTACCCTGATGACTCTAAAGAATGTGTTTCTGACTGTGATTAATGACACCTTTAAGTAAATCAGCTCAAATTGCTTTGAGATGGGATGTGATTTCTCATAAGCCTATGCAGGAGGGTAGAAGAGAGTTTGGCACCTTAAGTCTCCCCCAGTTTGCCTTTCATAGGGATTTGTCCTAAAAACGGTGATTCGGTAGGAGTTCTTCAAACTTCAGGGGATATGAACATCTGTCTACACCTCTTCTTCCTACTGAAGAATCATGGATGGATGGCTGAATGTTATCTTTCACACGTTTCTGGGAAAATCTGTCTATGCGTCATCTGCTGTTATTCTATGCCATAGGCTACGCCCCTTGCACACTGAGTGCCCGTTAGCTGTGGAACAGGAACTAACTCCATCTGTGCCTATGTTTTCAGCTACAGAATAAACCTGGCTGAGACTCAGGAGATGGCTGAGACTCTTGTGATGCAAAAATATTAATTTATTATATTTCTTACAACTGATACGGTGTGCTGTGGCAATAAACTGGCTTGCTTATAGCAACAAAGAGTTAAAGATTTCTTCTGTGCTTTGTACTGCAGGGACTTTATTTATTTTATAAAACAGTGCATAAACTATTATTGAATTTTTTGATTGCTCAGTTAATCTTATTACAGCCCAACTATTAAATTCAAAGGCAAAAGTCTAAGGAGTTTTAAGTAAACAGTATTTTTACAGATTTTTTTTTTAGTAAGGTAGAAGTGTGTAAATAATTTTCGTATCAATTAACATACAATGTCTTCCCTGTAAAATCTAATATTGCAGAGCACAAATACAAAAATTATTAAATTACATGAAATCTGTAAGTCATCTGCAGAAAAATAGTTTCCTGCAGAGCTTCTGTAAGGATTTTGTGATGCTTTATGAAACTGGTATATCTCAGTATTTTCATCAGCTTAGAAACTGAAACAGTCAGAAACTGAATAGATAGAGGGTAGTAACGCAATTACACCTAGAAATGAGTTCTTTACTCTATACATGAGATTCTTTTGCTTTTTCGTTATCCCACCATAATGAAATGGTCCCGCAGTATAGATATTTTTGCAGTGTCTACACAGCCCGGCAGCAATTGTTGTAACAGTGAACACTTACGGAACATTCCACACTCACCAAGGGACCTATAAAATGCAACAGAAACAGCAAGCCTATTTCAGCTTTCCTAACAGTAGCCAACACTTACATACAACAATATTACCTTGACTGGAGTATCGTGAGTCACTGAAGGTTGGTTGTAAATTCGGAACCCAGCCCATATGGGAAGGCAAATATATGGTACACTTAAGAAAAGAGCAGGACACACTTTAGTTCCGTATTTGCCTGTTAAAATATAATTAAGATGCAGAAGACACTGTAAGCTGTGTTGCAGAAGAGTTAAAAAATATCCTACGTAATATCAAGCCTGAAGCAGCTACGGTGATGTACACGTAAAACATTAGAAATCACTGTTGGAGCAACACACAAATCTCCTTGAAAATCATGTGCTCAGTAGTGGTAGAGCCACAGGTGACAGAGAGCCTATCGGACAGGAAAACATTTCAGAAATAAGGAGGTTTTTGAGAGGACAAGAAACCATCTCTGTCACTCTGCAGTAGGTAATTCTATAGGATGGGACACCTTCGAAATCTCTTAATGGATCTTGCTTCAAATAGAGACCTCATTCTTTAAAAAATGGAAAAGAGGAATGTATCCATTTTTTAAGATCTGATATAGCACTTGTTTTACAAAGTCTTGATTTGAGGAGGAAACATAAATACAGAGCTATTCTCAGGCCAGGTAAACTAGGAAAAACTGTGTCTTTTACACTGGCTACTCCGCATGTCAGAACGGAAGGCAGAAGGCACGCTCCTGAGAACAAGTTTCTTGGCCTTCCCTAGAGGAAAGTGGAAGAGAGACTGTCGTGTTACATCTGCTGTTTTCTCTGTGCTGCGTGTGTATCTGCAAAGGAGGGAACGGGACTGGCCTCAGGCTGCACCATGAATATTCCTCCTCTGCCATAAAAAGCGGGGCCATAGCGAGCTTTTTCGAAAGCTGACTACAGGATTTGGACACATGAACGTTTTTCTCAGTTGAACACTTGTCAACTTTGCATCAATTTAAGCTTTGTTAAAAAGGAAATCTTTAATTAGAGGGGGGTGGCACTCTTAAAGGAACCACCTGTCAGTAATAATGATGTAAAATTTTTTATTACAATTCTCAACCTCTAGCAGCACAGCTGTGCGCTGATAGATTTATGTTAGAAATCTAGGGATGTTAAATTTATTTTGAAAATAAAATAACGTCCAGATTTCACTTTTAAAGGTGATTTGGATGCCTGTTGTATGCTGCTTGAAAGTCAGACTATTAAGTAAACTGTAAATTTTATTCAAAATAAGATTTATATTTTTTTAATGACACTAAGAGACAGTTATCATCTCATTGCTTAAATTAAAGCCAGTTTGGATGAAAGCCTTATGGGTATAACAAAATACAATACATTTTTTTTCCCTTGAGAACAATGTAAATTGAAAGGGCCTTTTTTCTCCTGGTCTCCATCTTCCCCTCCTCACATTTAAATTTTGAAATATCTTGCATCTCTTTACTGTTACTCCTAAAATTCCTCTTTCATACTATTGCAGAAAGGAACCAATACTGCAGTGAAATACAGATAGACTAATGTTGAAGTTAGAAAATGTTTCACAGGAAGAAGTTAGTCATATAAATGATGTCCTTACCCACAATGTTTCCAGGCATAAAGACAATGATGCTCATGATAATGGAACCTAGCCAGTAGAGGCCAATGGTTCTATAGCTTTGTCTGTTTAAAAGAAAAAAAGACATACTTACTGCACCATCCCTAAAAATCCCCTATCTCGAATCACCCTCAAACATTATACTGATTGCTGTGGTTGTATCTCAGTAAGTAAAAGTTTTAAAATATCTGCCACAAGTCAACACTGGATTCTTGCCTCTGTGAGGGGAATATGGAGAAATTCTACATTCTGGTATGAGAACGTTATCACATGAACAGTACAGGATTTGTGCATACTTAGTTATTTGCCATTATGTTTTCCTCATCTGAAGGCTGACTGCACGATTTTGCACATCACAGGTTGTACAAGACTGTCAAATAACTGATAATTTAATTTCATTCTGGTAGTGCTTCCCTTATGAGCGGGTACATTAGCCTCTGGAATTTAAATACTTATTTTCTCAAACTCTTTATTCAACAGCAAGAAACTGAAGAACCTCTAGAAATAACCATTTTCTCTTAAACTGCATGATACTCTCTAAAATGGATGAGAGAACGTCTTCATACTAAGCAATATGTTATTCCTCCCATAATATTATTTTTTTTAAATAATAAAAAAAAAAAAAAGGCTTTACACACGTGGTTTTAATGTGCATCCTCTTTAAGCTTTCCTTTTACCTAACAAAGAATTCAAAGGGGCTATGGTCTCAGCTGCAGAGTGAAGAAGAGAGACTATAACTCAATGGATCTGCCGGTCTTATTCAGCTTAGAGAAAGCGTAACTAGGTGAGGTTTCAATTCCTGAAAGTAGTAAAATTTTAATAGTGTTGCTTTGGCCTAAGACATGAAGCAGTCCCGAAAGAAAAATCTAAATAGTACAGAGAAAAGAAAGCACTTTGTAGGTTACATGAGAATGGAAGCCAAGTAAACAGTACACAAATCCAAATGACTTACTCCCACGCAATAGCTGCCACCATCAACAGATACATCAGATAATGAACGGAGCCGTCCCAGTAGCAGATCACATGGCCGTATGCAGTGTTCAGATATGGTTCACCCTAGGGAACGTTCATTTGAAAAAAGATACGGTGCTCAGAGGAAGAATAACAACTAATCAATTAATAAAGAACAGCAGGAAACAGTTTCAGAAAAGTAACTGATGTTCTTTCAACCCAGGGGTACAGTTTTTGACTGAAAATACACATTTCCAAGCACAGGCCTGATTTAGGTAGGATCAGGTATAATTAAATCAGTTCTATGGTTGCAAAATCGGGTGCAAGATGCAGCGTTGTTCTGCTGCATTATGGAAATATTACTTTTCCATACTTTAGCGATAAAAGCTACAAAATAAAGATACATTTAACATGGAACAAATAAAGATACATTTAGCAACCTAGAGATCTACAACAGCATTGAATATGTTGATAACAATGTATAACCTTGTAAGGTCCAACCCATTTCACGCTAAAGTTCATGGAATCTTTTCAATGACTTCAGTGACTTTCATATGAAGCTCTTACTGAGCTATTTTTGGTGGATGTTTGTATTCAGCAGCCAACAGATTCTGCTGACTAGGTATCTGGCATCAGCATTTTTTAACTCTACTTTAATTCCTTTTAGCAACATGATTAGGCAAAAACAAAGGAGCAATTTTGTTTCCTTCTTGGTAACACATTTGGGTACTGCAGTAATCATCCACTTCTGAGTGCTCAGTATCCGCGGCTTTCTGCAAACGTGAACGGTCTATTCAGTTCCCACACAAGTTAATACGGAACAGCATTACTTTAACTAAATGAAGTGACACTGGAGCGTGGAAGGTATGCTATTTTTTCCAAATGAATCAGTGATTTAAAGTCAATGAAGGTTTTGTTCAGAACAATAATGAAACAGGTCAATGACCAAATTCAAGACAACCCTTTTGAATGTGTTAGTGGCAGTTTTTTCTGTGACAAATACTATAACAAGCTATTTATCATAAAGATTTTGTTTACATTTGTAAGCCAAACAATTGTTTACCTCTCTCAAGTAATGAGTCATGAATCCGTCAATAATTCCATCCTGTTCCAGTCCAATTATTAGATTCACTACACTGGTAAAGGCAAATACAGCATAAACTGTAGTAAGATAAAGGGGGAAAAAATAATAAATTAATAAAGATTTGGAATCACACAGTTACTTCACAGTTCGATAAACTCAGGCAGAGATCTATTGAAATAGGTGAATCTACTTTGAGGTCACAGATGCTTAACACACAATATGACTTTCCCACATAGCTTAGTATGTTTTAATTAGTGGTTAGTCAACAAAGTTCTTAGGAAGCTTTTCTTAGGAATGTGAAATTCTGTAGGGCTGCAGGCACAGCCTCCACGGAAAGTCAATGTCTGCAGAAAGGACTATGCAGCCTTTCAGAAATCTTGGTCGCACTAAGTAGACAACCTTGACTGCAGTCATCTCTTGGAAAGGAGAAAGGACAACAAGAAGGTGGCAGAGAGGGAAATGTGACTTGCCATTTTTGGAGGTGAGCAAGGCAAAATGCATTAGCCGTGGCAGTCCATGAGAGACCTATCTGGCAAGCTAGAGAGTCACTCCTTTAAGAAATTTATTTGTGGCAGGTTTATGTTATTTATTTCCTTTGACTTCAGTGTGAACTGAGAGTTCCCAGCCTCTTGTGGAACACTGAGGACAGACACCTACAAGTTGTAATGAGGAGGAAGACAGAGGGCAAATACAGGTGCTTTGTACCCTACTTTGCCTATGGGCCCATTTTGCAAAATTTTTTAAAAAGCAGTGTTTTTTCTTCTAGATTTTTGCCATGAGGTAATCTAGATCTAAGGTTTCCTTTTAAAAGGTAGTCAATATCTCTATTCTATTGTGGCAAAGTATTGATATAGAAATGTTTGCCTCAGTTTGCAGACAGCCTGAGCCAGGAGTTGGGGTGACTGGAACTTTCTTACGTATCACAAAGATAAGTTAACACAGAAACCTAATAAAAATGGGAGAATTAAGGAATTCAGTCATAGGAAGATCCAAGCCATGGAGGCAGTGGATCCAAAAGATCATAAAATCCCAAATAAGTCCACTCAGGATGAGATACACGTGAGAGGTCTACTGTACTTTCTAAGTCCTGCTACAAATTGGATCTTGACAGAATAGGTATGACCATATTCCAAACACTTTCACAGCTCAACTCAAGTGTTATTCTTGTTCTTTTCAAATAGGAAATCTGGCTTGTCCTGGAGCTGGATCTCCTATTTGAGAAGAATAAAAAGATTTTAAAGAAGTATTATTTCTTTTCCTTTTTTCCAAAGTCTGTCTTTCTTTCTTGGCTCCTTAGCACCTCACCAGACCGGGTTCTGAAGCCAGGCCTTAAATGTTCAATCTGAAATAACGGTCATACATTAATATTTACGTAAATTAACACTTTCTGCATTTAGCTTCATTGTTACCAAGACATACCATAAAACAGAGGGTCTTTTGGTGGTTTTCTTTTGACAAGAACGCGAGCCAACAGACCAATAAGAACCAGAACCAGCAATCCAACTGCAACAATTGCCCAGGAACTGTAATAGTATTTAAAAGAAAAAGAATTTACAAGAAAGACAGAGAAAGAGACAGAACTTTGCATCTTCAGCTTTTCTTACCAGCTATCCTCAAATGCACATACTCTTAAAGTAACTTTTAATACTTTAAAAGGCTGTTTTTAAAGTCCATCGCATAGTCTGTCACAGTATTCATTTTATAGTTCTGCAGAATTTATGTGCCTCTCTTTTCACATGCGATCATCTAAAAAAAGAAAATACGAAAATAGCTAGATAAACAACATATCCAGGAGCCTAGATTTGTCTGATGAAAATCAGTTTTCATACTGGTATCTGCAAAAATAAACAAAAGTGATGGAAAACTTAAAGGCCAATGAGAGGTGAAAGTCACAGAGATTTCAAGGCCGAAAAGGATAGTTAGGGACATTTAGTCTAACCTCAGCAATAAATTATCTACTCAGGAAATTACATATTCACAAGTAAAACACATCAGTCTTATGGAACAGGAGTAGCAGCGTGGAGTGCCTATGACAGATCTAGGTTTAATTTCCAGTTTTGGCAGTGCTACTGAAGGTTTCTCCAGTCCTATAAACCAGGATAGCTTCGGAGGGGTCAGTAATCAATACAGGTGGGCTCGGCAGAAAAGAACTCTTCTCTGAAGATGGGGGCTATAATGTTAGTGCATGAAAAGCAGTGGTGGAAGAAAGCACAAAAACCTTCAGCACAAAGCAAGCTTGTCTCCTTCCCCAGGAAAACATGAGTTAAGAAAATAAGTTTGCAATTGGTTTCCATCTCTAAGTGTACAAATTGTATTTAGCTCTTTTTAAGACAGGGTCTCCTTCTCAGTCTTCATTTCTGTGCTTGCGTATGGGGTCAAAAAACGGAAGGAAAAGTTAGGTGAAGCCCAGAAGCATAAGCTAAAAATATTTGGCACATGATTTTATACATGGAACCACTGTGTGTGTCAAGAAAACAAACTGCATACAAATAATACTGACTCTGACAATTTCAGCCTTAGTGAAACTTGACTTAAAATTGTTGCAAAAAATTTGCAATATCAAATATTTCAGAATATATACACACATACTTTCTGAATTAAGATGAGCAGTACTAGCTTGTTAATTTATTTTATGGTTTGTATCTTCTGCTAGTCTGTTTTCTCAGTGATTAATTTATTCATACCATTATTACAGCTGTTAATACTGCAGTGACTTTTCTCTGCGGTCTATCAATTTGAAATAAATATTGGCAATGAATCAAGTCAGTCAGCATGTTTTATTCGGTATTTTTCTAGCAGAGGGAAACAAAAAATTAAGTTATTGGCCAGAAGGAGGAAAACGAGGCAGGAACAGATGCAGCAAAGCCTTAAAAACTTGCAGCAAATATTTGTGCAGTAAAGTTGCAAAACACCTCAGGCTGTGAAATCACAAAATACCACATGGACCTTTAAGCACACCGAGTTTTCCATGAGAAAAGACCTTCCTTTTCTAGACCTTCGGTTTATCCCGGGATTCTATTTTTTTGGCAGAGCGGGCGCGTACTGACGTTTTCAGTCAAAACCCGCGCGCCTTGCGGGGAGCCTGAAGCGTGCGGCTCGGGAGCCTTCTCAGCCCGGTGAGTTCCTCCA